GTGCGAACTGATTTAAAATTTTGGAGATCAGAGTCATTTTCAGTCAGCAGATATCCACCTTTGTTTTAGCTGCATTTAGACTAGCTGTTAGCCTATTGGTCCAGTCAAAAGTAAACTAGTGTTCAGGAAGGTATTTACAAGAGGTAAGCTCTTTATTACCTAAAACATTTGCACTTCAAAATGATTGAATCTTCGTTTAGTAGTAGTTACCTGGACGCCGGCCACACAGGTAGAAAGCTAACCTGTCCGTCAGCTCATACTGACACTCCACCAGTCGCTCTGCTAGATCTACATGACCCGCCTGCCTGGAAGACAAACGTCTTTTTAAGTTTTTCAGTTCTACAGCTGCTGTTTCTTAAACTGAATAGCCAATATGTGAGGGAGGTATGTTTTCTCTTGTACCTGGCAGAATCCATAGGTGTGCGTCCGTTGATGTCCGGCGCTCCGGGGTCGGCGCCGTACACGACGAGCAGCTCGGCTTGTAGGATTTGTCCTGCCTTGGCTGCCATGTGCAGCGGGGTGTTGCCTTTCTCCTGAATGTGGAGCAGGGAATCATGAGGAAGCACATAAACATAGTCACAATAACAGGCTTTGTATGCAGAGAATAACTGAATAACACTGTTGGAATGAGCTGAGTTTGTTTTTTTATTCGTTTTTTTTCTGACCGGGTGGAAGAAGTTGGCCTGTGCGCCGAGGGACAAGAGTCGAAGACACGTCTCTAAACTGCCTGTCCGCACACTCGAATGAAGTTGCTAAGAAGAAAAAGACAGCAGAAATCAAGAAAGAGAAACACACAGGTAATTAGGACTGACAGAAACAAAGTCCACAGCGGCAGAGGTTTGACATGTTCCACAACAGGATTCCCACATTGCAAGATTTGGCCCAGTTCAGGTTCACACAATGCACCAACACTCGATCCAGATACTGGAAAGACTGACGGCCCTTTGGTGGCCCAGATGGGGTTTGCCAGAGGTGGTCCACGCATGGGCCAGCACCACCATAAACCAAACCACAACTGGGCCAGTTATGGCGTGCCTTCTTAAAAACAGTGCCATCACTGCCAGACCTGGCCCACACCTGACTGCAGTGTGGACTGTGTTCATGCTGCTGAATATTCAAACCCTTCTTTAACTAAATATATTACAGTTATAATAAAATAAGCCTGAAGCCCAGACTTTCAGCTTTAATTTGAGGAAGTTAAAATGTATTTATTTAATAAAACACTCCAAAAAAAAGCTGTGGGCATTTTTTTCAATATTTCTATACTCCAAAAAGCAATCAAAAGGCTTTAGTTTAATCAAAACAGTTAAAAAAATTAATTTGATGGTTGATGTTGTGAACCAAAACACATGCGAGTAAATAAATTATCAATAAATTATCAAATTATCAATACCTTTTGCAGCTTGGAATACACACAATAGGAAAGATGAGTTTAAAAAAGATGCTCTGATCCTATGTTTACACAGACACAAAAACACAATCATACGGTAAAAAAAAAACTCGTGCAGTGCAAAGCGACTAAGGAAGGGAGGGTGCTGGGGATCAAAACACATGGTATGGGGTGGGGTTCAGTGGAGCTGGTGACGTTTCAGGTTAGTACTCCATGTTGGAACCAATCAAAGACCTCCAAAGTCAAAAACAAGTTGTTATCAACCAAAGCACAAATCACCAGAGTCAGTTCTCTGTCTCCACCCATTGTGGCCTTCAGACAGGTCCACCCATGGGTGACACGGGTAGGGGATGGGGAGTCAAGCCTTCGTTTCACGTGTCATCCAGGGAGTTTTGATAACTGCCGAACCAAGGTCGGCAGCTGCAGGAATCCAAAAGATAAATATAATTGTTTGGGACAAGCAGCCTGATTTTCTCACTGCTTTAAGTCTGAAACTGCATCCCTGTGTTGCGAAAATGCCAATGTTCCGAATTTCATTACCTCCTCGCCTCTCTTTCCATCTGAAACTTCACCCAGGTGTAATCTTACTCCTCATGGGCACGCTGCTGAACTGTGATTCTCATTAGAATCACGTCCATTTTGCGACTTATATCCCCCAACAATTGAGTTTGTTCGTTTCCAATATGGGAGACTCCATCCAAGGTCCCTGACAGCTTCTGACAGGCCCGGACCGCTGTCAGGATCGCTTTCATTTTCCGATAAGCCAGGTCTCCTCCACAGCCAATCAGCAGGAATCCAGYTATCATAAGTCCAAATATATACACATCTTCCACATCTTCAATGGAAAGCGGCGCCGAACAGATGAGGTTCCATTCCCAAGAACCAGACACACGCCCGGCCACCACCATTCCACTGGGACAGCTGTGCTCCCCTCACTCCAATCTCAGTGTGGAAAAAATAGTGTTGATTGCATTCAGAGACCAGTTGACCAAATCCATAATTCCTTTTGTTTTCGGATGAAGGGTAGAAGAAAGGCTCAAAAAAAAGCTGCAAGCCAGGGAAGAAGGGACGGGTTCGGGAGAGAGAGCAAAAAGCGTCCGACTCCTACAAGTTGTATCAAGCTGCTGTGAGGTACCTGAGCTTATATCAAGTGTTTGATTTGTTGCTAAACGTAAATTCATGCTTTATGGTCAAACACTTGTCTATTCAAAGATTATTGTTCTAAAGGTCTTGTGGTTTGTTCAGATTTAAACTTATTGGCCTTTATTTAACCAAGCAAATCCCACTGAGATCACAGATCTCTTTTGCAAGGGCCTGAAGGTAGCCTAACATGCATGTTGTTCATCTGTAGGAGGAAAATGGAGTACACCAAGAAAACCCACGCAAACACAAAGGGAACATACAAACTCCACACACAGAGACCCCTGGTCCAAACCCAGGACCTTCTTGCTGGGAGGCAACAGTGCTAACCACTGACCCGCCGTGCTGCCAAATTTGCTAACCTAAAATCATAGTCATGTTCTTTTGATAGTGAAAAGAAGCTGGAAACCACTTCAAACAATTTAGATTTGTTCAGTCATTTTTTTGCACTGAAAAACTAGCAATTAATTTAACACACAGCAGCTAAAGTAGAACTTAGTAATTTATTCTGATCTTTAATAGAGCAGACTTCCAGGTGAACTCTCCAGGGAATGTTTGCCATTTGTGAATCTGTTTTCTCAGTTATTATGAACTACAGAGTTTGATAATGACTTTATAACCCTCTTCATCATCTTCATATTATTGTTGATGTTTTTCCCACTCTATGGTGTTGTGTAAAACACCCAACTACTCCAGAGCAATAAGCCGACAAAACATTTTTAATAAGAAGGTTTTTAAACTTCCTGATGATCAGCACCTGGCTGCTACTCCTAGCTCCTGAAGTAGTAAAACTATTTTTAGATTTCGTTACGGTAAATAATAACCTGGAGTATTATTTAAGTGCTGACAGTCCTAAATGTAAGATGAGCTTTTTTTATTGTGTCTTGCATAAATAAAACTTTAGAAATAGAAAGGAGTGTATATACTCATTGCAACGACTCTACATTGTTTGCTCTGATTCACTCTAATGCAGCAAAGCTGAGCAGAAAGTTCTTTACGGTCTAAACGAACCATGACCCAAAATAAACTGCATAGGCAACTAAAGAGTTACTAACGGTACAAAGATGCAGCATTACATCCACAGAGTAAACAAGCTTACAAAGACTAGTTAAAACTATCTTTATATGGGTTACCAAACTGTTGGAATTCCTGTGGATGTAGACGTCCTTATAATAAAGCCCAGCCTTGGTATAACTAAACTCCCTTCAGTGTTTTCTTGACATAAAACACCAACCTTGCAACAAAAACCATGTTTTATGCTCTAAAAGTGAAACTGATTTCCTACAAATAATGCCCAAATGTAAGTCTACAGCAAAAGCCAAGTCCTTACCTTACTGAGATCCTTCGTTGTGACACCATCATCATCACGGCAGGGAAGCTTGTGCACAAATGCCAGCATCTGGTATTTGGCCCTGATGAACTCTGACTTTGTAGGGCTGAGAAAAAGTAAGAAGATGAGTTTTTAAAAAATAATCCAAATCTGAAAAGAAAATAAAATCTGAAAATGAAATCTATATATCACCAATAAATTTATAAACAATCTGTTGCCCTTTTCCCTCCTAATAAACTAGTATCAAAAACGTGTTTAGAGTTGGGCAGAAATAGAAAGGAGTGTACATAATGAGCCATGAATTATGACGAAACATGTTTTTACCAAAAAATAAGTATTGTAATAATAAGTGTATTGACAAAATTGTAAGAATTCAAGATGAAAAAAAAATAGCAAGACCTGTTTCAGTTTAACACAACAATCAATACTTTATTCAGGTGCCTAAAAAAACTGCCTGAAAACTTTTTGTAAGTAAAAAGACATTCAGGGTTTTTGGGGAAAAAATAAGATTGCGTTTCCTTTTCGTAACAGAAATATGCTTAACATATAACCTTAAACGTTCCTATATTGCACAGTTTTACATGTTTTATAATTATGTTCTATTTGACAGACTGATGAGAAGCTTACTGCAGGAATATCTTATCCCAGACGTTCAGCTATGTCTTTATAAGAACACATCTCACCACTGCTGATGTGTTTTCACGTAGACGAGTTACCTGTGTGTAACCCAGTCATTTTTTTAAAAAATACTTTAGGCCAGTGGTTCCCAAAGTTGGGTTCAGGACCCAAAGTGGGGTCCTGAAACATCAAGGTGGGGTCCTGAAAMGATTTTCTAAATTAATTACATTTTTTCCTTAGTTGCCTAAAATGTATAAATGTAGAATATTAAATAATAAAAGTTGACCTGATACAAATGTTTATCATCCAAAAATAGTTGGGGGGCACAGGTCTCTGCTACTGTTATTTTGTGGGTCAAAAGCCACTGCACTTCAGGAATCAATTTAAAGGGTAATAAAATAATAGGTGATGTAATATTTTCCCTATAATTATTACAAAAACACAAAATAAGTAAAAATAAGTATTTATATTTGTGTAGCCTTGGTTTTTAGGGTTATTAACAAAGTTCGTGTACTCAGACCAGTAATATTTGGGGTCACAAGTTTTTGTCATGAATATTTTGTGGGTCAGAAGATAAAAAGTTTGGGAACCACTACTTTAGGCCACTTACTCCCTTTTGTGCTTTCATTCTGTCCACCATTCTCAGACTAAATGTGAAAGCCCGTGAGATTTTGTGGGATCTGAGTTTTTATAAAGTGCCACGCCCATTGTTTGTGTGGGAAACCATGTATTTGGCAAGAGAAGTTCAGAGCTGCTGCAGTTTTTAGATGCCTCTATTCCCAAGAAAATGGGTTTTCTTGTGTTTAGAAATTAGAAGCAAATGAACAGGCCAGGTTTTTCTTCAATGGCGAGCTACCATTAAGCCTCCAGCCAAAGAATCTGGAGGTAGAACTGTTGGATCTTSCTGTGCAGTAGGAGGCGCTGCAGCCTGCAACTCCACACACTCACAAGAGCTTGTTCAAACAGCGAAGCCTGTTAAAGACTTATTCTGTCTTTAACTCTCCAACTCTTTAACAGTTCAGTTCAAGTGGACTACTGCTTCTTRTGTGGGATCACTATCAGTACATGGACATCATTTTGGGAAATCTGATCATCAAGTCCATAAATTTTGTGGTTACTGAAATATKAAAACTGTTCATTAATTGGTAACAGAACCTTTTTGTATATATTGTAAATAACTTCTCAACTTTAATACAATTTACATTTTGCATCACTTTTGTGTCACTGTGTTTTCAATGCAACTATGATCCTTCCTGAACGATACCTTTAGATGTTCCAACAATAGCCTGTAACTCATCACCATACTTTAATTTAATATTAGGATCTGCATCATATATGCTACATATGCTCACGTAGCTTAGCTCTGTCATGTGCTAAGTTACAAGGTGTGGGAATCTTTAGGCATCTCACAATCTGATGACGACTCAGATGGCTGTAATGTGATTATTTCAATGATCTTGAAACTTAAAATTACTACTGCTTCTTTTGCATAAATAAACACTTATTTATAGACTTTCTTGCTGAATAAATAGTGCAGATAACATACATTAAAAAGCATAAATGTTAATATTAATAATGCCAAAGAAAAGCTAACATGATTAGCAAYGTGTTTCTTGCTGGACATTTGGAGACAAAGCAAATGTTTTAAAGTCATTACTGAACAGAGTCAGGTTAAGTCAGTAATGTCTGTAAATAACAGATGAATAAATTGAAGGGATCTACGGTAACTTTACGAGGACATACCCCACCACACAACAACGACTCTGAAAAACTTCTTGGCATTTTTGAAACTCTTCAGGACATACCTAGATTTTGTCTCCCACCCTGATAAGCTGATGTTAGCTCACTCTTCTCTCTCTTTTTTCAACTTTTAGTCAATTTGTTTTAGCAGTTGTACTCAATGCACTGTCAGAACATCCTGAAAGGTTGTTTGTGGGCATTCTTTGAACAATGTCTGCTATAAACTTTGATGTTAAATGTTGTATTTTCTGGATGCCTGCAGCAATTCTTTTTGCCTCGGCTCTCTGTAACACATTCACTGATATGAACTTTTATTTCACAGAGATGCCCTCAATTACAAAGACAACGTGTTGATAAAGTCTGTGCTTTGATTTCACTTCCTTCTGGACCATTCTGTTTGGTGAAAAACAGCTTATTTTTACTCGCAGCAAGTCACAGTTTTAAGTTAAATGATTGCAGCAACACTCCCCACCCCCCAAACAAGACACAAATAGGCTTTGTTCATGTTAAAACCAAACAGCTTGATGAATAATAGACAAACTCTTATCAGTAGCAGATAACGGATCTCCACAATGAACCAGAATTGACAAAGACCACAGTTGGTTTCTAGGTCTGTGAGAAATTAGCCTTTTTCTTTCACACATCTAATTACTGTTTTCATGTCCCTCTCGTGAACACATTTCTAATCTAAAAGCTCTAGAGTTAAATGACACAAACAACTAGTGTATGAGAGCAAAGTAAGAATTACAAGGAGTTTGATGAAAGACACAAGGAAAGAGTATCAAGTAAGATTTGAGTGCAAATGCTCTATCACTGAAAACATTAATTTTACAGAATGACAATTTTCTGCTTGTTTGTATTATTTTGCATGTTTTAATATAGTAGATAAAATACTTACTGGACCTTGTCCTGGGGGTTTGGTTTTCTCCGACCGCTTTGCACCTGCGCGGGGTCCAGGAGACTGTGTTCCCATATGGAGTTGGCTCCATTACTGGCCAAAGTCTGAACCATCTGAAACACAAAACAATGCTGAACAAATGAGCTTAAACGGCAAGGATGATGTAAAGTCAGATTTCGGTCCTTGTTTTTTTTTTAATTTTGAATGACAAACCCATCATTATATGACAATGAAACTGGAGTACACAGTCATTTAATTTAAATATTATACGGTATAAATAAAAACAGAAGTACAGTATTCACAGGGTTACGTTCTTAGAGCCCCAACAAACTTGTGAAAAACTGCTAATTTTGGATGTGCTGAACAAACACGATAGAATCAGAATCATTTACTTTTGCACATACAAGGAATTTGCTTTGGTGTCTCTGTGCTACACAAACATTTAAAATTATATTTTTGTTCAAATATTAATAATAAAAAAAATACTATTACTAATAATGTACAATTCCCCTGACGTTCATCCTAACTCAAGTTTACCATCTTCTAACAATTAACATTTGAGAAATATTAAAAATGTCATTAATAATATCGTACTAGACATTTAATGAGCCTTTTTTATTGACAGTCTTTCTAGACACCATACTTAATAATCCAAGTAGAAATAAATGAATTATTATTTATAAATGCACAGTGAAAGAGGCCAAAAATAATCCCTTCTAATTAAAAACATGTCATTTTCATCCAGGCTAGGCAAATAAAAAGTTGGCACTTGTTTGGCCAGCCATTAGCCCAGCCTAGATGAAGACGTTTGCCTCTTACTGTGTGCTTTATGACAGACATAACAGCTGTTACAGCTACTAACTTTTAATAACTACATTTAGCATAAAAAGTAAGGAAGGTAGATTATTTGTTGTATTATAGCTTCTTGCCAAGACATTTTATAACTGGCTCCTGTTTGGCAGCACCTGGGGGAACCAGAAGCTCGAAACAAGCGTCAATAGCAACAGACAAATAAGCTGGCAGAGATTTGGCAAATCTTTCATGTGAGCAACCCACATTACTCAGCTCTACTGCTCATCCCAAAAACGCATGCCCCTTACAAATGTAGCACCATTTTAAAGGGAAATTAACATGCTTTCCAATGGTATAAGACTTATTTTCAATAAGTGTTGTTACAAAAAAAATAATCTACCAAACACAAATTCGCTTATTTTTTGTGCTAAGTATATTTGACAGAAAATCACTTTATAAAAACATCCAGGCCAGAGGTTCTCAAACTAGGGTCCCTGGACCCCCAGGGGTCCGGGAGTGGTATCCTGGGGGTCCTCAAAATTTTTTCCTAAAATGTTAATTTGTTTTTTTTTTTAATGCATGGAGAACAATGAACGAATAAAACAAACATAATAAACTTAATAAAAATATATATTCCCATGGCATTTAGGGGTTGAAATGACAATAAATTGTCTTTTAAAACAGCACGGGATTTATGAGGGGGTCCCTGGAATTTTTTTCGCCCTTGTAAGGGGTCTCCAGACTCAAAAGGTTTGAGAACCCCTGATCTAGACCATCTCTTTTAAAAAGTAGCCAATTCAGCATTAAAGCTATGCCACAAAGTCTTTCTGTGGCATCAGTCTGGGCTTTTTCTTCTGCTTTTCTCTTCCATTCCACATTTGCCTCAGTCTTGATTTGTGACTCCTACCTGCAGTAGTGTGGGAGGCCATCCGCTGTGCCTCAGGTGCTTTACTATGGAGATGTGTCGGCCTAAGCTGCGGTGGACTGAACAGCATTCGTCACAGATCAGAACACCACGGTTGATGCTGCTCCATCCCGGGTCTGGTGCACAAAAACACATAACAAATATATTAAATGTGAGATATGTCCTCTTACGATTTTATGGCACTGTTACCACAAACTTTACTAAAACATTTACACATGATCAGTTGCCATTCGTCAGCAAAAACATTGAATATATAGACCCTTTCTGTAGATTTCGATTAAATATCTATTCAGGATAGAAATAATATAAAAAAACAAAATAATATAAAAAAAACTGCAGTTCGATTCACAGACGGGCTCCTTGAAAAGTTGACTGTCATGTATCTGTGTTCATTTATCGGTTAGCAAAATATAACAGAAACCACTGGACATTTTTTATGAAACTCTCAGGAAGTGGTTTTTGGATGGACATCTACTGATTAAGCTCTGGAGACAGAGCCTAATTCAAGATGGCCGTCACAGCTGATCAACCTAAGTGAACACAAAAATAGTTGCAAGTCGGCCATTTTTACAGATACTGAACTGGAATTTGGTGTAGCTGAGTCTAATGCAAAGCAAATACTCCAAAAGAAAACAGATTTCACTAAATCATTGTTTAAAGTTTTGGCGTGAAAGGGACACGCTTTTCTTCCTTCAACGGATGCTATATAAAATAATTAGATTTTCCCTTTTTTTTTATTTGTACTTGTTTCAAAACATTCCCATCCCACAGTGTTACTGTAGAAACTAAATCCATTAACTTCATGTCAATAGATTTCACCTAAATACAGTCAACTGATTGGAGGTTGAGCTCCTGAAGAGCAAAACTAAGCAGCAATAATTCGCCCCTAAGGTGCTGTTAAGCTGAGTTTAGGATGGGGAGACGATGTGACAAGACACAGGAAACTGAGATGGAAATACTGACAAAAATATATTTTTTTCCAAGTTTTAGCCAGCTGTTTTTACATACGAGGTGAGGTAAAGACAATGATGCGATTGAAAAGATCCACCTAAAAATATTAATTCCTAATGTCGTCAAAGTTAGTTTTCACAATTCATTTAGAGCAAAGGCAACCAAGCAGTTTTAGTATTATTCTTTAGTTTCAAGCTACAAGTTATGTTTTTCACTGGACATCCAAAGACAATGGCAGCCAAAAATCGTTTATGCCTATGTCTGTGTTTGAAAGTTTGTTAGCAAAATATCTCAGGGACCCCTAGCCAGATTTTAACACCATTTTCAAAAAGTAATCTTTAGATGTACGTCTACAACGAATTAACTTTTGGAGTCAATCAAATTAATGATTGCCACAGCAGCTGACCAATACCGGCCAACCAAAAATGGCTATAACTTGGACAATTGTAGAAACAGAGATCAAAGTTGATATGGTAGAAGCTGAGAGTCATTCACAACACATGCTATGAAGCGTGACATCTTATCATTTTGCATGAGAAAGTGCCTGAAGTTATTTTTAAGATTTGACTAAAGTAGCTACAACTTTATTTCTCAACATAAGATTATTTTAGTTTGAAACTGGCATGGAAGATTTTTTTCAATGAAAGCTAAACCTTTGAATTTTAGACATGAATGCACAAAAAGTGGCTAAAAAATCCTGCATATTTTAGCATAACCTGCTTTTGACAGCAATCTGTTTCCAATAGAGGTACTTGGTATTTATTTTTACTCTATTTGGTCCAATCATTCCTTTATGTATATAATTATAGGGAGAACATACATTTTATGAAACAGTAACAAGCACTTTGAAACTTGCTCATGACAGTAAAACAATGAGGAGTAGTGTTAGGCCAACGACTTCATAAGACTAGTCAGAGAGTCTGGGTCATGTTTATGCCCTCAGGACGCCGATGATGTGATGAGCAGCTTAACATCGAATATCAGAACACATCCACACACACACATCCTTGTATTTGCATCAAACTGAGGACTCTGTATTGACTTCTATTAATTTTTGTCACTGCGTTTATAGCTAATCCAGACATTTTCCCCCAACACTAACCATTGCTAGTCTATTCCAAACCCTAACCTTTACCGAATCTTAAATCCAGGGTTCGACAAATCCTATTACCTGACTGCCCGGGGCAGGTAAAACCCATATTCGGGCAGGTGGGTGTGTGCTGATGCCTGCCCAAACGGGCAGGTAAACAATTTCTTTATTTTTTTTAATAGGGCAATTTATTCAAAATATTCTGAAAATAATTGAAGAAATATAGCATTTTAAAACATGTAAAGAGACAATAAATCCTCACAATTTCCCCCTCCCGCTGTAGAAAAGTTACATCGTGCAGCGTGTCTCGGGATCCTAATCTCTCCCTCCTTCCTGCTACACGTTGCGCAGAGCGAAGCTTTAACCATAGTTTTTTCACACCTGTGTTTTCAGAGAAAAAAAATGTTTTTTATGTATTGTTACCCACAGAGATGAAAAAATATGTGGACGTTCGTTCAGTCATGAATCCATCTTGCTAATGTCGGCTTCTGCTCTGATGATGAAGAATCTCATTGTATGGCAGGCCGATGTAACATTTATTTGGCTTCACCACACATATTCTAGTTATCTGAAATTGTTTTATGACTAAATTAGACATATTAGTTACTTAGAATAAAATGATAAAATGTTTTCTTTTATTATTTTGTTTTATTTACTTATTTTTTTAATTTGGAGATCTTTCCAGCTTGAGTTTGTTTGTGTGTTGAAGTTGATTTTTGAAAATAAGGGGCAAATATGATAGAGTTTTTTCTTCACTCTGCACTCTTAATTCAAGGTAGGATTTACTTTTTTTAATGCTGTACGTAGATGGTTTTGTTTTTATGAATGAAAGAAACAAATAAATAGACATCTCTTAATTTATTTTCACAATTCAAAATACCTATTTAAGATATCTCTAATTATATTCTGACTTGTATAAATAACGTCAGATTTATCATGTTGTATGAAGACTCCAGTTCAAGATATCTTAAATGTATCTTTAGATATGGGATAGACTATACAGTGGTTTGCAAAAGTATTCATACCCCTTGAACTTTTCCATATTTTGTCACATTACAACCACAAACATAAATATATTTCACTGG